AGACCGTATTAGGTTGCGCGCACAAATCTATCATAACCCGAAAGGCGTACCGAAACACTTCTTTGAGAGGTCAAGATCCATCAATCCAGGCTGCGTGCAGGCGCACACCGGGACCACCGCTGGGAATGCTAGCGAACAATCCGTCGAGTCATTCCCGACCGATCTTGGCACATTCGTCAACTTCGTGGCTTCGTGTGTCACCTCCTCGAACTGACACGTGAGATGTATAGTGACTTTACGCCAATGACGCGGTGTCTTCAAGTCGAAATTTCTCACGCGAAATCCTTTTAGAAAAAAAAAAAAAAAAAAAAAAGATTTTTCTAATTCCTCAGTTTTTTTCCTTGTGTGGGGGTTTGTTTCCATGGAACAACAGTGTAATCACAAAGAATCGATCTAGATACCGAAAACAATAAAAAATAAAAAAGACTATATCCTCGGGCGGTATAGCGGCGTCTGATGAATCTCCGACGTCGTCTTGACTGCCGCAAGTCGGCGGTCGTCTTCCTCGGCGCGTATGCCGGTGTGGTGCGATCGCGTTTAACGATCGCATCAACGATCATAAAATTCGCGATCTCTGATTAACCGAAAAGCCGCGCGGCACACAGCGGCAAGAGAGATACAGCGGAGATAAATCCTCAAACTTCAGAGACTTAATGACCGGGGGCGTATAAGATGGGTATCTAGTTTTTGCAAAGTTTTTAAAACAGCTCCTGGGCATAATTTTCTTATTCTTCATTAAACTCTGATTGCCATTGAGTTATTATTACATGTATACGCGTTCGCGAGTCGCACAGATATACGCCGCGCATCACAACATGACCATAAAAACTATAGTCGAAATTTGATTCTTTGTCGATTCAGGGGAACATCGGTACTACTGTTAAATTAAAATTAAAAAAAAAAAAAAAAATATCCGCACATTTTCGTCTCGGCAACGGGAGGATCATTTTTGAACTCGATCAGAATCCTCGGCCTCTTATATTGGAGCTCTCGGACAGGGCTCCGCGAATTGAGATTATAAATCAGATAATCAACCGCCATAAAAGTCCACCTACACACGCAAAAAAAGAACGCTTTGCTTTTTTTCCAGGACCTTGCACGATTTTTTTTTTTTTTTTTTTTTGTATACTCGGATCGCGCGATGTGCGTGCGCGCGCGCGCACCTATCCCGAAAATCTCAAGATACGACAGCGATTCGCCACGCTGGGGCCTGCTGAAACCCCGAGACGTACGGCGGAGTGGGGGTTCCGCGTACCCACCTCAAAACGAAACACGTCGGTGGTCGTCGGTGATAAAGGAGATCATCCGGGGTCACCTGGGATCCGTGACTTTCGTAATTTTCTATGCTATTTATACGTGCAGTGACGTTATTTAAAGCTGTTTCTCTATTTCGTCGCTTCTAATTTAGCGCAAGACGTATACGAGATATCTATTTTTTTTTTTTTTTTATTACGCGTGAGATTTCTAATTATTTTTGGATAATAATTTCAATAATTACTAGCGCATCACAGACGCGCGCTACGCGCACGCTATTATTTTTATTTTAACATATTCCGTCAGTAGACACAACATGTCACCGCGATAACAGCTAGTACACGTACGACAGTATGACATGAATCGAGAAACACATTATCCGAGAAACGTCACCGAGACGTCCAAACAACGTCGCGGAAAAGAGGTAACAATCAAGATTGATAGAATCAATTCTGATTATTTGCACACGCTTTTTTGGTAGGACTAGTACAACACAGGAGCGCGCTACGCGCACGCTATTGTTATTTTTATTTAACGTGTTGTCAGTGAACACAACCTGTCACCGCGATGACAGATAGTATATATGTCTTATAAATCATATAATACACATATGAGAAATGTCAGAAATAACGCATGAAAATCAAACTCAAAAAATAGTGAGAGAGAGAAAAACAACACGTGACAGGGAAAAGGGTAAAAAAGAGAATATTATATATATTATATGTAATATTCTATATCTATATATAATACACACACATACGCATATATGTATATATGTAAATGTATATATATATATATATATATATATATATATACCGTAATCACGTGACCGAAGTCAGTAACACCGCCGCGGTCGCGCGGCCGAGGTCAATGACTCCACCGCAGTCGCGCGACCGAGGTCATTGACCCCGCCGCGGTCAGTGACCCCCCTCACCAAGGCCGCGCGGCCGAGGTCAGTGCCCCGCCAAGGCCACGCGGCCGAGGTCAATGACCCCGCCAAGGCCGCGCGGCCGAGGTCAGTGACCCCGCCAAAGTCGCGCGGCGGAGGTCAGTGACATTACTCTGTAGTATGTATATAATACATATAATATAATGTAAAGTATAATATTATAAATATATAATAAATTATATGTATAATATGCATTATTTAATGTTATATATAATATAAATTACAGTCACGTTATTTTCACGTGTTGTTTTTCTACTCTTTCCTGTCACGTGACTTTAGTTACGTTTTTAATTTTCTCTACATATACAACGAACTGTCTCAAAATCGCTTTTTATTATTTACTCTCTCGATCTTGCCGATTCGATTCGACTCAATCTCGATTAATCAACCAACCAATCGGCAACGCGGAAAAGAGGCAACAATAGATCCGATACATTCGATATCAAAACGCGCACTTCGCGGTACACATGGATTTTTTATATAGGAGGAGGAGGAGGATATATATAGGTAGTCTCTCTTTTGTATTACGCAGAGAGGGGAAAAGAAAGAGGAACTGACAAAAAACGTAGCTGTGCCACGAATATAACTGCGAAATGTATCATCTCTGATTAATATTCCCGCCGTAGTTCTCGGGTCAATCATTCTACTTTGCGAAGTGAGACGAGATGAAACAAAATCCAGAAATTCAGTTTATTCTGCACGGGAAACGCAGCGGCTTTATTAATTCAATCATGATTGTTGCGGCGCGCGACTCTCCGCGAGTAAAATGAAGAATGCATATGTTTCTCTACGTGCGTCTCTCCTTCTAGAAGAGACTCTCGAGCGCCGTGCTCGATCATTTATACACGATAATTATACACGATAATTCAATTGTAAGAGCATTCCTGCAGAATAATATATACATATATATGTATGTATATATATAACAGAATTTTACACACACACACACACACACACACACACACACACACACACACACACACACACACACACACACACACACACA